CTTTTTTTTTTTTTTAATATTTATTTTTGAGAGAGAGAGAGAGCACGCAAGAGGGGCAAGGGCAGAGAAAGAGGGGGGACAGAGGATCTGAAGCTGGCTCTGTGCTGACAGCAGAGAGCCTGATGTGGGGCTTGAACTCACAAACTGTGAGATCATGAACCGAGCTTAAGTCGGACACTCAACCAACTGAGCCATCCAGGCGCCCTAAGCATTCAGCTTTTGATCTCAGCTCAGGTCTTGATCTCATGGTTGTGAGTTCAAACTCTCCACTGGGTGTGACGCTTACTTAAAAAACAAACAAGCAAACAAAGAAACTGAAAATCCAGTTTCTGATAATTCAAGTGGATTATGCCACATGTGGATAATGAGTACCACACTGGGAAGTGCATTACATTTCTATTATCACAGAAAGTTCTATTGACTCTGTTGCTGTAGGATGTCTCTTGGGTGTTGGTATATAAAGATTTGACCTCTATGAGAAGGAAGATTTATAAATTCTCTAGTTCCTTCATATTCTTGAATATACAGTTCAACCACAGTTTAGATCTATATTTACCGTAACACTCATCTGGATACATCAAAAATAAAGAGCAAAAGTACTGTATACATAGTGGTTGTTAAATCAATAGCTGTTGAAACTAAGACTGTGACAAACAATGATCCACACCAATTGACAATTTAATCTTGTAAGTACAGATCCTGGCATTTAGATGACGCTTAGAAATATCTATGGACTCAAATTGGATTCAACATCACCATTTGAACAACTGATTAAAAAAGGACAAAAACATTGTTATGACATTATTTGTTACTGAGCTGGTTTCAGGATAAATAATCCATTCTAGGCTGAATCCAAGGAGAATGAATTACTGGACTGACAGAAGGATGTCTATATAAAAAACTTATGTTAAAGTGAGATTTTAGTATATTGACATACCTCTGGTTCTATGTTTGATATCAGATTCAGCTTCATTTCTCTCCTTTCCCTCATTAGTGGAAATGGTATCCAGTTCACGGCAGATGGAGCTACAAATAACAGAATAAAAGAATTTTCCTCTTTTTTATTTAACTCTATGCTCAATATCAGGCTTGAACTCATAAACCCAAGATCAAGAGTCATATGCTCTACTGACTGAGTCAGGCAGTTGCCCTAGAATAAGAGAATTTTAAAGTTGTTTCTTGGTCAACATTACCTAGTGTATGACAGCATGTGAATCCTACAAGATTTTTGGTGAAAAAATCGTGTGACCAACTAAATTTGGAATATTCTAAAAATCACAATCTCTAATATGGATAGAAAATTTTCTAATATGCATGGAGTTTTCCATGTATGTTAGCATAATAAAAACTGGGAAATCTTACAGTGGAGAACTTTTTATTTAAAAGTGGTTATTTCCCAAACTTATTTGAACTTATAATCTTTTTTTTTTTTTAAATGTTTATTTTGAGAGAGAGAGTGTGTGAGCAGGGGAGAGGCAGAGAGAGAGAGGGAGGGGGAGAGAGTATTCCAAGCAGATTCTGCACTGCCAGAGCAGAGTCCAACACAGGGCTTGAACTCATGAACCATGAAATCATGACCTGAACTGAAACCAAGAGTTTGATGCCTAACCAACTGAGCCACCCAGGTGCCCCAGAACTTATAATCTTTTTATTAGAGAACAGCAACTTGTGTTCTGCGTAACTCACTAGGAAATGTTGCTCTACTAGGGCATCATCATATAGCCTCAGAGCAGCTGCTTCTCTGGAAGGGATCTAGTCCAATCTACTTCAAATTCAGGAACCAATCACAAACAAAAAAGGAATGATCAATGATCTGGAACATACCTTATGGTTGGAACAGTAAATGGATCAAACTGGTCCACTTTCTGTACATCAATAGGCACAGAAATGCGACCTGTAAGGACCAAAAGTTATAAACTGATGACTGTGAAATACAGATCATTATGGGCTGTCTCCTATGTGTTATTTTGGCTAAATTTTAATCTAAGGCTTAGAAAAAGGGTTAGACTTATCTGTTAAAATCAGTAGTTGGAAATTACTTCCACACTAGCTGCATCTTTTATTTCTCTTAAAAAAAAAAACAAAAAATAAGTATGAAAGACTGTTGAGCTATTACATAGTGCTCTTATCTCTACTTTTATTTCTATCTCCTTCTTCCTAATATCCTTTTATACAGAAGTACAGAATGATACCAAATTTAGTGAGTTCTGAAAATGAAACAACATAGATAAAAATAGTTCATTTCATTATCTTGATTTGCTGAGATCAGAACAGACACCTGTATGTTGGAAATCTTTAGAAAGCATTTTGGGAATAAAATAGCATTATACTACCTTTTTACAATATCTACACCTGGGATACCACATAAAATTCATCACATCTCAAAAATGAGATAATGAGTCTCAAGAATGCCAGGTAAATAACAAGTTAAGATAATCAAGAGAATTGGGAGTTGCTGATTGAAGACAGTAAAAACTGCAGCTACTTAATGGGGAAAAGATATAATCAAAATGTATACAACTATGAATATAATTATTTACTGAAACTGAATTTTAGAATAAGGGGATACCCACTAAAGTTTTAGAATTAAGTTAAAAAAATATTAAGAAATATTAAGATTATTACCAAAAGAAGCTGAAAACACACAGTTGACAGGTTTGAAAAGGAGCTATCCAAATATATGGACTAGAGAATCATTATAGATTATTAAAGGAAACTAGGCAATTTGGGAGGATTGAATGTGTGACACTTTTCTAGGCACTTTACATTTTAGATTTTCACAATAACCCACTGAAGTAAGTACTATTATTATCTCCATTTCACAGATGAGAAAACCAAGGTACAGAGAGTAGTTTGCCTAACATCCCACAGCAAGTGGCAGAGTTGGATTATTGACTACTTATTGGATATTAGTTGTTCTAAAAAGGACAACTATATACAACTGCATATGTCTCCTGGTTGGATGAAGCAAAGTTTAGGTCAATATAGCCACCTTTATATCTATTTTAAAGTCAGTTTCATTCCTTCAAAACACCTAAGAAAAATGTGAAGGAGGAAAGCTAAAAGTATGGAAAAAGAACTGAGGGAGGAAGCATAGTGGGAACAGCACAGAACTCTGTGGTTTAAGAACTGAATTCTGTTTCTAGCTCTGTTGCAATTTGTTTTATGACTGTAGACAAGTCCCATTAACCTCTTGGACCACTGTTTTCTCATTTGTACAGTGAGAACTACCATCGTGTGAGTTCTAAGTACCTCTACGATTCTAACACTGAACCTCAAAAACCCAGATGAAAATTATTTATGTAGTGGAAACTCATCTGGTAGCTACTAATCAACAACTAAAACTTTCATTTTCCTTCTAGTTTTCTTTACTTTCTTTACATTGTACCTGTTTTAGGATGAACACTAAAAGGGCTCTTCAGTAAATGATTGATTCCTTTGCTAACATTGATATCCAGCCGTGGAAAACAGTACTGGAGCATGATCTCCCATTCAAGCCAGGGTCCACATTTGTCGTTTTTGGTATTATCCTAAAAACAGATGCAAGTCTAGCATGAGGATCAGTAGGAACTTTTGAGGATTTCTTTAAAAGTGGTTAAAAATGATTTTCAATAATCTTTAACTTACTAATAAGCAAAACAATCAGAATTTAATTAAGAATTACATTATTATATTTATAATAGAGATTTCGATGGGATATACCTGAGAGCTGATGGTTTTCTTCAAATACTCCCAACGCTGAAGTGAATTGTGATGCTTTTGGAAGTTTTGTTGAAGTTTCTCATGAATTGGTGATGAGTCATTAAGGAACACACTCATTTATGACACATTAATGAACAACTTATTTCCAGTATGTGTTACAACAAGGATAACTGAAAGTTTACTAGAAATTATTGTTTTCTAAAATGCAAATATGTATATTTTTAAGTTTATTTACCTTGAGAGAGACAGAGACAGCATGAGCAGGGGAGAGGTAGAAAGAGAGAATCCCAAGCAGGCTCTGCACTGTGAGCACAGAGCCTGATGTGGGGCTTGAATGCACAAAACCATGAGATCATGACCTGAGCCAAAATTGATAGTCGGACGCTTAAATGACTGAGCCACCCAGGTGCTCCTCTAAAATGCAAATATTTTTTTTTTAAAAATTTTTTTTTCAACGTTTTTTATTTATTTTTGGGACAGAGAGAGACAGAGCATGAACGGGGAAGGGGCAGAGAGAGAGGGAGACACAGAATCGGAAACAGGCTCCAGGCTCTGAGCCATCAGCCCAGAGCCTGACGCGGGGCTCGAACTCACGGACCGCGAGATCGTGACCTGGCTGAAATCGGACGCTTAACCGACTGTGCCACCCAGGCGCCCCTAAAATGCAAATATTAATTGAACACATATCCTTAAAAAATCTCCTGTAAAAATATGATACTGATATGACAGAAAAAATGCCAAAATAAATATTTGGTTTAATGTAAAGCTTTCCCTGGTCTGTACAAATTTTGACTATATGATTCAGTATTCTTTAAGTATCCATTAATTCTATGAGGATCAAACTCCAAAATGAGGAAATTTCTTTCTGAAAAGGCTTCATTTCTTACTATATTCCAAACTAGAGATATTAAATGCAGAAAAAGATGTTTTGTGTAAAAAGACTAAATTTGTAAGAGTACGTATATGAGAATATGCAGGCAGAACACATTTATAATATCATAGATAAATACATGTAGCTCACATAGAAATGGTCTTGGGAAAGGATATTTTCAGGAACAAGGGCTAAGATCTTATCCCAGCTTTCTTTATTTTCAAGAATATCTTGATCAACTAAGGCATAGTCTTCAAAGTATTTTTTTATTATGTTTATAGATTTTCTGTAGGAATAACAATAACAAAGTCCTAATACTATTTGTAATATATACACTGCATAACTTTTGTTGCTATTTGGGTGGCTAGTGTTACTTCTACTGAATTTTTCTTAATGAGCATGTATTAGTCTAATAAGAAAAATACAAATAGAGTTTAGCTATGTAAAATGGGAATAATACCCCTTTGCAGGGTTATGAGAGTTAACTAAGACATTCTAAGGGGGAAGAACCTACTGTAGATAGTACCTGGCTTAGAACAGATATTCAAGAAATGTTTACTTTTTTTTTTTTAAAGTAGGCTCCACAGGCTTAAATTTATGACCCTGAGATCAATATCTGAACTGAGATCAAGAATTGGATGCTTAACTGACTGAGCCACCCAAGTGCCCCAAGAAATGTTTACTTCTTAAGCTCTACAACTTAGAAGGTTAATAGCATCATAAATATGTAACAAGAAAGCAACCAAGCCAGGACAACGTAATAATACATCAGTAGTAGAATGTGGGATAGAGTCTATAGTTTCTACTATGAATTACTTGCTTTACATCTCGACAATTATATAGTGCTTAGCATTTTGCAGACTTCACATCTACTGTTTCATTTAATCTTTGCCACAACTCTCAGATAGAAGGAGATGTTTTTCCCATCATATAGTTAAGGAAATAGAGGCTCTAATATTTTATTAAGGTCTTAATAAGTTGCAGAATAGAGATTCTAACTCTTTATGTTTATTTATTTTTCAGAGAGAGAGAGAGAGAGAGAGCGCAAACGGGGTAGGGGCAGAGAGAGAGGGGGACATAGAATTTGAAGCAGGCTCCAGGCTCTGAGCTGTCAGCACAGAGCCGGATGTGGGACTCAAACCCACGAACTGCGAGATCATAACTTGAGCCAAAGTCAGATGCTTAACCGACTGAGCCACCCGGGCGCCCCTAGAGATTCTCTTTTTTATCTATCTATCTATCTATCTATCTATCTATCTATCTATCTATCTATCTTACACATTTATTTATTTTTGAGATAGAGAGAGACAGAGCATGAACGGGGGAGGGTCAGAGAGAGGGAGACACAGAATCTGAAACAGGCTCCAGGCTCCGAGCTGTCAGCACAGAGGGAGACACAGAATCTGAAACAGGCTCCAGGCTCCGAGCTGTCAGCACAGAGCCCGACGCGGGGCTCGAACTCACGGACCGCGAGATCATGACCTGAGCCGAAGTCGGCTGCTTAACCGACTGAGCCACCCAGGTGCCCCAAGAGATTCTAACTCTTAATGCAAAGCTCTTTTCACCCAGAGAAGTAGTGAGTTCAGTGGGAAGAGTATGGGTTTTGAAATTAGGCAGACCAGGACATGAATGCTGAATTTAACAATTACTTGTATGGTGCCACAAAACTTATACAATCTTTTCAAATCTCACTTTCTTCATCTGTAAATGGAGATACCATCATGACCGTCATGAAGTTATTGTTAAAACCAATGAGAACATTTGTAAAACATCTGTCATGAATACTGCAGCATGAAGTAGTCATTCAATGAACTCTAGTTATTATCTTTGTAAAGTGCTATCCCAGTAGGGAAAACTGATAACAAGGCAATTCTAAAGGTAAATCAGACACAACTTAAACTGCATAGAGTCTTTTCCAACAGACCTGACAAAAGGGTGAATTTTTTCGCTTAGGTGGACTTTCTTTTTAACGTCTTGACCACCCTGAAAAATAAACCATCAAAAAAGAACTTCATGTATATGAAATAAATGAAATAACTTAAAAATTTCTTTAATGTGTTCTAAAGATACTGATTAAAAGAAAACTGTCATGCTCTGGTTTCTCTTCAAATCGCATAAATCTTTCGCCTTTTACTAAAAGAAAACTGTCAACATATAGAAGTTTAGATGCTATTTTATAGTCTCAATACTTGTAACTTTCTAGGTTACCTTTACCTCACATAATTGAACCAGAAAAGTAATTTTCCTTTTGTCACAAAGATCTTAAAAAATGTAGCTACTATGATTATTTGATCTGCTGGTAAGATCATCTACTCTGGAATGTGGATGCTCTAAAAGTTTAATTTTGTCACTAAACATTTCAGGCTTGGTAACATCTAGCAAACAAAGAAATGTAAATTATCATTAAGATCTTACCTTTACAAGACTCAAATACTCAACTATCCCAGAACGTACTGCAGAGGACAATTTTCTAACTGATTCATCACAGACCCAACAATGAACACCTCTCCTTCCAGAATATACCCAGAGACGATGCTTAAATCCAAAGTCCTCTGAGGAGGGGAGAAATAATAGGTTTTAAAATCTAGAAATAAATTTATAAACTCCTGGTTCTTGCTTACTTCCTTAGCTTCATTTTTACCTCTTATCCACATGTACTCATGTTAACTCTACTGAATTATTTTTAGTTTTCTGTGTCCTCCATGCTTTTGCCTTTATGTCAATACCTATTCTGGTCTCTCTGCCAAGAATTTCTTCATGCCCCGGTATTTCCATTTCTCTCCCTGACCAATTGCCATTTATCATTAAAGACCCAGTCTAGGGATATTAAAAAAAGTTAATAAATTTAAAGTGTTTAGAACAGTGCTTGGCACATAATAAGCACCCTAGATAAGAGTTAGCTATTTTTAGTACATGTGCTGCTGAAGTGATCACAAGAGTTAGCTATTCTTAATATCATTATCATTTTTATCATTATCTTTTCCAGAAAGCCTTTTCTAATCCAGTCTTTTCCTATTCCTGTATGCACTCCTGCTGTTCTAGATCTCCAGGGAATGCTGGGCATATTACTCAACATAAGTATAATCTTCAATTTTATTCGTCTTCTTCTTAGACTGCATAACATACTTGAGGTAATCATTATCTTTCATATTTCTTTCCCTCACCTAGGACAGTATGTAGCACAAAGAGCTGCTCGATAGATGACTGAACTGGGAAAAAACTCACTGGTTTGATCAACAGCTTTATTAGAATTTGAACTACAACTTTATTCTAATCTTTTATTTTCTGGCCATATGTTTCAAGGAAACATGTTCAAAATTTATGAGAGTTGACTATAAAATGGTATAGATAGGGGTGCCTGGGTGGCTCAGTCGGTTGAACGTCCAACTTTGGCTCAGGTCATGATCTCACAGTTCATGAGTTCGAGCCCCATGTTGGTCTCTGAGCTGATAGCTCAGAGCCTGGAGCCTGCTTCGAATTCTGTCTCCTTTTCTCTCTGCCCCTCCCCTACTCACATTCTGTCTCTCTGTCTCAAAAATAAATAAACATTAAAAAAATTTTTAAATGGTACAGACAGACAAATATTCAGAGGAAAATAGATTCTTGCATTTGACCCCCCTCAGACACTACCAATACTTGCCCTTCAGTGCTCGGTCGA